GGTCCAGTGGGCAAACCTCTTCATCCTCTGGCCTACTGCTATCACTAAAAGACACTCATATTTGAGCACTCTCGCTAATCCTGACCCGACAGTGAGCGTTTCTGGTGAACACAAAAATGCAATTACTGAGCGCGAGGGGTGAAGTAGTGAAGCTATAGTGTATGAATGTAATACGCCGTAGCTTGCATTCGTTTTGGGCAAAGTGAATGTGTATAAATCTGAATAATGTAAGATTTAGGAGATACGTTTTTCTTTTACATATCTATAAAAAAATAAAAATATATAATCGGTACATTGCTTTAGTTATGAACAACGAAGTATAATAATATACACTAGTCCACTAATATTCAATTGGATTCGAATTTAATAAGTTATTTAAAACACATGATAATAAACAAGTACTTGCAAAAATGATTGTATCGTTTTTAAACAAATATTAAAAACACTGTTTAGTCATAATTCAGTCATTCGATAGCTGTTGAATAATATTTTAATACAAATAGAGTGGCTTTCACAAAACATAGAGCTAGTTGATTAGCAAAGAGCGTTTGAAATGTACACTCAATTTGTTAGATTGCTATCATCGATTTTAGAATTAATTGGCAAAATAAGCACGTGAAATCTAGGAATAGAAATTGGTAAAAGTATAATTGAGTATGATTGTGACCCTACCTAGGTAGGTACTATAACAACACATATCTATCAGAAATCATATCACATTTACAATCTGAGGTTTGGTTCCAATAGTTAAATAAAGTGGATCTTTTGATTATAATTGTGATGTTTGCAAATCATTCATTTAGACCAACAGCAGTAGGAATGGGGTGGTTTTTAGTCAGTAGGTAAGAGTTTAACATAACACTGCCTCTTGTCTAAACCAAGGTGGGAGAAGCAATTGGATGATTTTCCACCTTAAAAAAAAAAATAATTGCTCGGCAGTCGCAATTGCGGTAAATTTGGAAACATGGCAGTGAAATTATGATAAACAAAATGTTGTACCAGACTGATTCATTTCTTCTATTTAAGCTTTTATTTGTAGCGTTAACTAGCACTTTCACGCAAAGCAAATACTTTTACCGGTGAGATCCAGGTATTAGTCGCCAAGTACCACTAATACGTCACGTAAGAGTAAAGCTCTCGAAGTAGGATCGGTGCAGGTGCAAGAACTAAGTGAAGTGGCATTAGATAAACACTACCTAAGCTGGTCGTTCTGGAGATGGGAAAATGCAGAGACAAGTATAACGAGTTGCGAAGTGAGTCGAATAAAACGTACGTGACACGTATGTCTTTGTTAATACAGTTGCAAATGCTAATTTGGCATCTGCTTTTCTAGACGACTACCAAAAATAAGTTTTTATAACTATCGTGAGACTTACTAAATTAACTAAAATCGCGGGTTACTCACGTGAATACCCAGATAAAAGCTCTACTAGTTGCGATCAGTGAGCTGTGCGACATCGCGGCGACCGCGCATGCAGCTCATGAGGAAGAACCCCTTTGAACCCCGAAACTAGTAGAGCTTTTCTCAGTATATTCACGTGAGTAACCCTCGATTTTAGTTAATCAAAAATAAGTTTTAAGTTTTTTACATACATCATAATGGGGACGAATAGAATATAGTCATAAACCTATATACATATTTGGAAGTTGTACTCAGCCATTACAAATGTGGCAGAAATTCTAAAAACGATCAAATGGGATATGTAATCTCCTAGATACATATTGCTCCTTATTATAAATGTCGACTATATTGTTTTAAACTAGCGATGATTAATTAAATGAAAGTAAACACAGATTTAGCTACTTAGGTTGTAAATTCGGCTACACTCCGTGGATGGGTTTAACTATCCCTGACAAATATATGAACTCCTCGGCACTTAGCAACCATCCCCTAAACACGGCTTCCTCATTGTGATGCTTGAGCGACCATCCCTAACAAATCGAGACGATTTTGCAGAATGTATTAAGCTATCGGTTCCGGTTGTCATCCGAACATCTATGAGCTTTGTTACGGACAGGCAGAAAATTGAAAACGAGTTTTATTTTATGGGTTAGGGGACCAACAGACAGACAGATCACCTGATGGTATGCAAACGGATTCGCCCATCGATATCGACACAAGTACTTTGCCGGCCTTTAAGAGATTCAGTCAGTAACCTCACGATGCGGCGAAATATAAGCCTAGCTTGTTTGACATCGCTTTTCTGTAACACCGTAGCATCACTGCAGTTGCGCTAAGATTGATCAACTTCAACAAACAGAAAATTGTTCGATATTAGATAAAAGGCCCTTATAATATTGTACTCTACAATATTATTACAAACTAGACCCAATTATAGGTAAATTGCTGACCTGACTATACTATTTTTTACCTAGACGAGGGCTTTCCATAAGGATTTTTTATCTTAGGGTCCAAAGAGAGGCTTAGGCTAAAACCTTACACCTTTATTCAAGCTTTTTACAATCTTAGTCTAGAACCTCTTTGCATGAAACACATTTCATGTGCAATATAAGGTAAAACCGCAATGAGGCCATAATATGATATTGCATAGTGCAATTTTATTAGAACTATCCTCTTTTCTACTTACCTATCTTCAATAGACATTTATACAACTTTAAAAAGTTTTAGTGCGAGTGCATTTTAAAATTAAAAAGGAATCAGAAAGGCCATGTATAAAAAAGAAGTTGCATGCTTTTTTATAGCCATCTGTACGTTTACCTTATCGGCTTATGCTATAAAAAAAATATATTTTTTTAAGATCTATTTTGAATTAGGCATTTTGACTCTTCTCTAAATGATGTTTTATTTGTTCAATTCCTTAGAACTTAACAAACATTTATCGGTACAAAGATATTTGTCTATTCGAGCGACTGTCACGTCGAACGGGAATGTATTCACGCGGTACCCATGGGACTATAGGAACTACAAGATGACGTGCTACGATCTACATCGTATCCTTTGTTCTTTTATCGTTTGTAGATGTTTATATGCAAAACTGTGTGTCAATATTCTTGCAGTTCAAAGAAATGAAATGTCAACGTAGCAGAAAAGTGTGGAGTTAACATAAATGTGATACCACAAATATTTCCAGTCTTCCTCATACTTTAGTACGAGATATGCGGTCATATTACGATCTAAAAATTTAAAATATAAAAACTGTTGTACTTAGTCCAGCCTTTCTCTAGACCAGAGCTCGTGTTTAGCTGTTGCTTTGACAGTGAAGGAAACTTTTAATTTTCAAACTAAAACCAACAAGTACACACAATAATCCTTAACATTACTTAACTGAATGGAACTAAATACTCATCAATATTCAGTAGTTCATAGACGTTCTTTTATAGGTACCCAGTAAAACAGTGTAAAGAAGACCCGTATACTAATAATTCACAGTTAATGTCCATAACGTGAGGAAGGTCATAAGTCGTACGTCACTGGACATACACTATCACACCGACACATGGTGAGCCCAGCTTTACACGATCAACGCCACCGGGATAAATTGCGGTTGATTAACCCGTTACCGCCGCAGTGTGGTCTCTACTGCAGCCTGATACGATTTTGTTTTATTAATTTGCAGATTTTGTGAATATTATCTGGTCTATACGTGGTTTGAAGTGTTAATTAATTATTGATTCATAAAATAATTATCATTAAAAGTAATGTAAACTCACAAATCTCTTTAATCCTAAAATTATACACAAATGTAAAATACCAATAATGGATTTAAGAAAATTAACAAATCTAAAGACACTTAAACACAGAAAACCAACTACTTACGTGGACACTGGCGTTACAACTTTCATAAGTAATAATATCTGAAGACTACCAACCTAACTTAATAATTTTCTTACATGACCCAGTAAAAGTTTCAATGGTACAATACCTAGTAATAGTAGGTCTGAAGAAAAATTGTTTTAGTTCCCTTTTTAATATCGAGGTGAAGTCTCAATGTCTTTTTCATGATAATAAAGTAGCAATGAACTTTCCCGGGAGATTTCTTTCTTATTATCTCGTGTCATTATATTGGTCTTATGAAGCTAAGGTTTATGATGATAGGCCTTGATACTTTTTCATGGCCTTTAAGCTATTTTGGTCTTTACTCAGTTGTAATTAATAAAAAAATTAATAACTAAAAAGTGTTACTATTTATTTTTTTTTAACGAACGAATTGTAAAATTAGAAATAATAAATCAATCGTAATTTTTTTAACCATTCCGATTTCAAATTTACATACAGTCAGAAACGATGTCACTCGCTAACCAGTTTAAAAAATTATAATTATCTTAACTTTTTATAAAAACGTGCGCTAAGTTCTGTTCAGTAATAAAACTGGCATTCTCTTTTTCACAATATTCTACTACTCTTAAAATAAGTAATTAACTTTTGTAAATAGTGAATACAAGTAGTTTTATGGCTCAACTCTACAAAGGAGGCGAAATGCGATCCGCAATCCGTTGCCACAGAGCACAGATGTTTTTTCTTTTTTCCGACCAAGCCGTACTGACATCGGGGTTGCGATAATTAAGACCTCTTTTTAAAAGTGATCGATACTTTTTCATTTCCATTGGACATAATCTTAGTAGAACAAAGACCTATAAATGAAATAGTACGATAGTAGGTAATCTTTTGCATTTTATTGTGAGTACTTATTACTGATGATTAGTGCAATCCTCTTACCTAGAATCTAATGGAGACTTATTTATTACACAATATCAATAAATTGTAATAAAACTTGTGTCGTTATTTGTCTGGTTTCTTCAAAATATTCGCAACTAAATTGGACAGAGCACTGAATCCTATTCAGATTTGACTAAATGTTGACGTCTCACAAGTTTTTTAGTTTTTGACTAGGTATACGTAAATTCTGTCATAGGTTCTTAAATAAGTTTCACATAGGTATACTTTTTAGTATAGAAATAAGTTTTAAGTATTGAAAATAAGTTTTGAACCTTTGTCAAGGATTCGGTAAATTAATAGTGCTTTATTTTATTGTTCACAGTTGGGGGAAGGGGTGGAGCTGACTTTGGGCGAGTTGCGCGCGATGGCGCTGCGACAACAGCAGCAGATCGACACGCAACACCAGCTGCTCTGCGCCAAGGAGCAGCGGCTGCGGTACCTCAAGCAGCAGGAGGCTAGGCAACATCAGGTCAGTACCAAGTCTTAAGGATTATACTAACTTAAATAATACTATTGTGATTGTTTATAAACATAGCGATCTCATTATTACCATCAGCTTATTTCTGATCAACAATGGACAGGAAAGTAAGAGATAAGTGACTAAACAATAGGCTCGATTTACTAATATATTGTAATTTGTTTATATTATTAACATTTATGATACGCACCTATTTGAAAATTTATTTCCTTATCTCAAAGTTATGTCCTTAAATTATTTCACCGATAGAACCCTAAGCTTCGTGATCGATAGTGACGAGGACAGTCATTTATTTTCTAGCTTTTCTTCACAATTTAGTTTCCTATCGACGACGAAAAGCCATTAACATCGGTCCCAGACTCAAAATAACTCTCAATTCAGTAATAAATCTAAAAACATAAGGTTGTGTAGTAACTATGCGATATCCCGCAGGACTTAGCGTGCTTAGTACTTCTAGCGAACCTTTTACGATGCCATTCCCTATAGTAATGTTGTCGCCACGGGCTCATATGTAAACCTGTAATGTAAGGGCATATATTATGTATGTTTGTGGTTATCCGCTGTTAGCTCTTATGTACTTTGTTATAGGGTTGAGAAACCAACAATGAATAACTGCATAACTGAAGAATAGTCCTAACTTATTTTGTGTTTTTATCATCAACCTCAGTAAGCGGACCATTGCGGTACTTTGAAAGTCATCTCGGTTTCACGCACACATAGTTATGTATCGCACTCATGTCAGTTGCACTGGTGAGGAGGTAGCCAGTATAGGAGATTCAATAAGGCCCAGGGCCATCAATAAGTAGCTTTATTAAATTACCTGTGGTAGCACACGTTATGCAATAATGTCCAAGGTGGGCTTCGTGATATTAATACAGCGACATCTTTGCCGCTTCTGAGATTTTCATTACTGTGACAAACTCCGATATGGATACTAAACCATAATGTTGAAAATAATTAAGATTTTAAAAGAATCAATGCTTCCGTATTATTTAGGAATATTTTATTTCATCACCTTCATCATCATCATCATCATCGATAGCCTATAAATGCACACTGCTGAGCAAACCCTCTTCTCACACGGAGAAGGTTTGAGCATTAATCACCACGCTTGCTCAATGCACGTTTTGCGATTACAAACTCATAATTAGAAATTATAAGCCAAGGTTTCCTCACGATGTTTTCCTTCACCGTTTGTTAGTGGTGTCTAGATAATCTTATAAAGTACATATAACTTGGAAAAAGTCACATTGGTACTTGCCGTTGGTAGGTTTCAAACCCAACCATGAGAAGCGGGCATCTTAAACTTCCGGGCCACCATGACATTGGGTATGACATATTTTATTTAGGAATTTTTATTCCTAAATAATACGGAATTCTTAAGACATCATGAAAATCTGTAAAACGATCTGTTCTATAATTTAAAAACGCTCTTGGTATGATTTTCGTACGTCCTGTGATAAAGCATTTTTAACTCATTGAGACATTGAACTGTAAGACAAATAGAAAAAGAGTTATGCACAAAATAGACTCGTCGACATGTAGAAGTACATCTCAATGCCGAAATAAAACATTTGTCGAAAAAGAATATCTATTTCTCAACGACACAGTGATAGATTCAATTTGTTAAAGTAAGACTCGGTTCTGGAGAAACTTAATAGTCTCAGTCTCTAGTCTCAACGGGAGTAGTTACTGAATTGTCGAGATGACATCGAGGTCGGTAGTTTATTGAATAAATTACAAAATAAGAAAGCATTGAAGCACTTTTTTCCTATAATTTGGTAAAGTAAAAAGGGGTTCTATCAGAAAATGTCAAATCATTTTGAAGGAGTCTGTCAGTCGTGTAATCAAGATCTCTAAACAATAAGTAATGGTCTCGTCACTCACATTTCCATTTTTTTTCGAATTCTTATGGGAGTGTTTCTTTACCGGGTATGTCACTGCTCCTAATGTTAGACTCCGTATTACCAGCACGAGAAATCCAGCACTTTGAAATCTATCTGTTATCAAGTATTTTTTTATTGAATTTATTGTCAAGTTAAATTTGTCTTATTATCAGTCTTATCATCGTGGAGCAATAACAATACCTATCTACTTTTTTCTTATTTTGTGAAGCCCCAGAAATATATAGTTTATTCTACTTTCGTTTGTATCTCAGTCAAACGCCGACTGAAAATCATAAATCGCTTATTGTCTTTTTTGATTTTCTTTTTGTTACGTTTGTGACATCGGGAATTCATGTTTCCTCTGTCACGTTATTAAACATTTGCGCATGATTTATTTTGCTCTTGGATGATAAATATATTTTTGTCTCTAACATAGTTTGAATTTATTGTGTTTACGTGTTAAGACAAATGAAGTACCATAAATCTCTTTTTATTACATTTAACACATTTGGTTATTATTATATTATTTTTTAGTCACATCAAAAATAAAATATCAGAAGATTGTATATCTAACAAATAGTGAAGCTCACAAACGATACGTTAATAGCTAAATAATAATATGAATAATAGGACGCTAAGCTCAGTCAATAAGGCGCAGCTGCATATTGACAGGATTTGCAAACAATCCACTCAATGCAGTCCTCGACCCACTATACCGACCTCCGCGGAAAATCTCATAAAGGAATCCATTGTTTGCTTCATATCAGATAAATTCTTTTATCCATCACTTGAAATATTGAATTTGAAAAATTCACTATAATCCTTCCCATATACTAAAGTTTATCTATATCAAATAACGTTGTAGTATTATCAGTTTGGTCGTGAAAACCTAATAAAACTCGGCTACTTTCCTATTTGTGATATTAGTATGGAACCTTAAATATCCGACAAAATACGCGGAATATTTAGGCCATACGCTTTCACAATTTCGAGAGAATTCTTAGAAAATTATATATAAGCTTGACGCAATTTATGTGGTTTCTTACGCAAAGTTTTCTTGGATCTTGTATTTTATTTAGAGCTTAACTTGTAAACATCTTAACTTTTTGGTATATTATTTAGAATGTTCAATAGGTTAAAAATATTTCTGTTATGCATTATTCAAGAGAAGGGGCTGATGAAAAATTCTTTTCAAATAATTTGTTCCGAGTTCTTTGAGGTTCTTTAACCCTTATTCTACTTCATTTTAATTAAGCCAGTTCTAAAATTATATGCCTGTTTAGTATGTGAATAGTCTCATTGTTGTTCCTTATGAATAACAATAAAACGGACTCAGATTTTTATTTATAACTTGGTCACGACAAAGGACGACACGTATGAAAAGGGAAGGTGTGAATTTTTAAAAAGGGTTTTTCACAAATCCGTAATATAAAACAAAGGATTTTTAATGAAGTAAGAGGAACAGGGAAAGTGAATGGAACGAAAAATCTTTGTTCTCAGTTAAAGAGAGTTTGCACGTCAAAGTTTTCAGATTGCTTTTGTATAATAATAACTGTGTTATTTATAATTAAACTCTGGATTGTTTTTGTTCCGTAATTGAGTCCGACAGTTTATCATAGAAGACGTTAAACTTACGATTGTTTATTTAACTGTAGTGATATATAGCAGTAATTCCCTCAATCAGTCGAGATTGTTTATTTAACAGCATGTGAGTTGTGTAACTAAATATGATATGTGTGTGTCTATTGTGGGTAGAAATTACTTATCTGTTATATCAATTAATCATAATCATTATTGTCGACACTTTAAACAACTTCGGTTAGATAAGAAAGGAAACTTGTCACTATCAACGTATTTAACTTATTACTCCTTTGTTTCCTTTCCGATCGTGGTATAAGACTTTAACAGACAAATTGGGGCCGAAATGGAATCGAGGAGAATTCCTACCACAACCCCTCGGCCAACGAAGCAGAGAAATAATATTGCTTATCTATTTAGCATATTTATTGCGACATTAAAGACTAAGCGAGTTATCTTGGATAAAAAGATGTCCCGGAATCTTTTCGAAAAATTGTGAAGAGATAAGAGAGCCAAAAAAATTAAATGTTCCCCGTTCTTAATAAATCTTTTGGGGTGCGCCGGACGCGCGTTAGCTTAATGCGATATTTATCGCCATCTTGAAAATAAACTCTTCTCACGCAATAAGTACGACTATAAAATAAACAGAATTACCCACCGAACCTCTATACACATCTAATTTGATATTCATTATAAAACTCCCTCTCAATTTTACAAGGCGTCATTATCATCGATTTATGGACACTTAACTGTTATATCGCTTAATTAATCAAACAGTACTTCTTTTGAATGGGAAAACAACTGCCTCTTTAACGTAATATCGTCGTAAATCAACTGCGATATTAAATAATTTTTCATAACTTTTCCCACACGCCCTCCACAACGCTCGTTTTAAACAATAAACTGAACTAAAACACGTTAAAACTTACTTCCGGGCCCTCAGTTCATTATAAATGAACTTTTATACAAAAGCGCAGTTTAAATAACTTTGTTTAAAAGTCCTTTTTATGATTTGTTAACAGGTGGCGGTCGAGGGCGAGCGGCTACGGCGGCTACGCGAGCGCGTAGAGGCGCAAGAGTTGAAGCTACGCCGGCTACGAGCGCTACGAGGACAGCTCGATAGAAACAAGCAAGCGAATATTGCATTAAGTAAGTACTTTCTTAGGACTTATTCTAGTTTGCGCTCACAAATATTGATGATCTTGATATATTACACCAACTATCGTAACAAATGATCTTAATAATTGGTATTTTGCAACAGATTTCCCTTTCTGAAATAATTTTTGTTCAAGGAAAACTGTTCTGATTTTCCTCGTACTTAAGACCTTTTTCTACGGGTTGTGACTCACAATCCTTACAAATGAGGCGTATGAGAATTAGGGGTGCCTTTTGGTAAGGCAACATACATTATATTTATTTCAGTAAGTCGTAGACCGGTACATTGGTTAAAGGCCGTTTTAACAGAACTATTTGGCTTCATATTTTTTCCGTTTAAGTTCAATTGTATTAAAATCTGGTTATGTACATAATATCACAGATTGTAATCCCCAAAGGAATAAACAGCGGTGTACAATATACATATTTAACGCAGGCATTTTTATTTACCTCAATAAAAAAAAACAAAAATGTAGAGTCATATCAATATCGGCAAATATTTTTTAATTGCTTTTTCTATTTGTTTGTTCGACACTTTTATTTGCAGTTCACAAAATCGTTTCAATACCCAAAAAGGTTTTTTATGTTCCGCAAAACGTATGGACAATCGCGCGACCACTTTGTTTTATGGACACAATAGCGGTTTTCATCGAAACGTTATAAATTCTTTTTCAGTATCGTTTGAAACATGTAAACGTTGGAGTTAGGGGATGTAATGATACTGTACGAAATATTCGAGTGATTTTATAACAGAATCTTAATGTCAGGACAGTTATTTGGACATACAAACTGAAGTTCAACTTATACCTACCTTTAGCTGGGACTTAAGTTGGCTTTTAAGGCACAAACCTATTGAACAGTTTTATAGATTATTGCCAGTTAACGCAATAATGATGATAGTATAATCATGTACGTATATAGACGTAAAACTAAAATTTTTAGTAAATATATAATATACTCGAACCGTACAAATTCTCTCGCAAACATTAAGCATTAGCATTTTGTTTGTGTTCCACTTAGAACTTAACGCTTCACACTGCAAACAGGTTACAAGTACGATGCACTACGAACAACGGACTTCGAACATAAATCAATAATCGTCCATTCATTATGAGAACAACGATCGATGTTCTACCAAAGACTTGTTTGTTACGCTCTAACTAGAAAACTTTCATACAAACTGTTCCACAATGTCCCATCACAGGCTTGATGAAGTAAGAAAAGAATTAAAAGCAGCGTGATTTACTAAAGGACTTTGCAAAACGAGTTTAAATAAGGAGAGAAGTGAATTCGGATTAGTTAAAAACTTTTTGAAGGGGTATTGCCTTAGCTGCCTTTGAATTCTTTTTTGTCGTTGAGTGAAGTTCCGCTTTTGTTTTCCGCTTGCTCTGCTTGAATAACAACTATTTTTTTAACATCAAACTGGAATTGTTTTCACCGATGTATCCAGCAATTCCATTGAACATCGGAATGAGTTTCATGCAACCCTTGGAACAGAAAGAAGTTAAATGAACCATGTTCGCTTCCTCATTAAATATGCATGTCTGCATTGCAATTTACATTTGTAATACGCTTGCCGGATCGAGGTGACTTTTCCAGTAGTATGTACTGCGTATGTTGAGTGTATTTCGTCAGGCGAAATGGAGATTTATTTTCGTAGGTATTTTCTTAGTTTGTATAAAAGTGTTGAAGTTTCTGTAAAACTATATGAAATTTGAATCTAAATGTTTATTTTTAAAGTAGTTTAAACTGTCAAACACCAAGCGGTCACCGGTGACCGCAACCTATTGTTCTATAATTGTGTCTATAATGACGGTACTCGACGAGTTAAGTGAGAAAATACTTCGACTCCCTTCTTTAAGGAAAGAATATCATCCAGTGACTTCTCCCGCTTTGAGTCAGGCGAGACTATCAGACTCTTACTGACTAAAAACCACCCTGTTTCTTCTCCTGCTTCGAGCAAGGGCTCCGATAACCCGTTAGGTTTTCCGCAGCTTCGGATATCCTTTCACCTCTGAAACGACCAAAGAAAAACTAATGGTTTAAAACATTCCTGTACGTGTATATTGACCAAATATAGAGCAGAAATAAAAATAGTTTGATATCAATATTTATTACAAATTCACGTCCAACTAGCGGACCGGTGTAAATGGGTCACATTATTGGATCAAGAGCATTCTATTTGGAGTGCATACGAACACTCCGACATTGGACTTGCAGCATTGAATGAAATGAAGCGATGCGCTGTATGTTGATGCACTTTATTATTTATGGCCAGCATTAAAATAGACTAATGTTGTTTGTGTTTCATCCCGGCGATTTAATAATCACCTTTTTAAAAACATATTAGCCAACGTAAATTATATTTGAATTTAGAAAACGTTCCGTAAAAAACTGGCCATTAACAAGATTTGTAGCAAAAACTCGTTTTCGTTTAAGAGGAAAAGCCAAGCGTTACTGAATAAAGAATAAGGCTTGCAAAAATATGATAATATCGGTCGATGTTAAATGTAAATTAAGCACATGAAGAGATCGAAAAAATCCGATTCACGAATATTGAATTAATAATCTCACCAGTCTCACCACGCGTCGCGAGGAAGATGTATAATTTAATGTTCGGAATCCTTTAATTCTCTTTTCGAGGTAGGATCATCGGATGGATGATATTTTTATTGATTATTTTATTTTTGTCTTATATTCGAGAGTAATTTGGCTGGTTTCATCATGAATGGTAGTTCGTTGTAACTTGAAACTAGTATAGTATAATTTTTCTTAGTTAGTCCACGTGAGTAAACTGCTGTTTCAGTGGTTTCAATTAATTTAGTGTCTTACGATAGTTAGGTACTACACAAAAATATTAATTTGGTTAGTATCTTTTAAACTAATTTAGTCTTGGTTTTTACGTACCTATAATTATAATTTTCAGAAGAAAAAACAAACCCTAGTGAAATGCCACGCCTAGAATTAGTAAAAGCATTTGTTAGGTGCGGCCTAATTGTCTCCACGCGGTTCATTGGTAGTCCAAAGAGGAAACAGTAATTTGATTGTTTAACTTCATGGAAGGAGAGAATTTGTGCTGGAAATATTTTTAAAAAGGGTTATTAAGAATTACATTATAGTGCTACATTATGTATAAAAAATTTTATTGGTACAAGAACGAATCCCCATAAACATTGTTGTAAAGAAAAAGATCATCCTCGTTTCAGTTTATAGGCAAAAGTTTGTGATATCAACAAACGATAGGACCATCTACACAATCACCGAATTACATACTATAGAAACATCTACTACCTCCTTCAGCGAATCACAGACATGTTATCATGCATAGACAAAAGATGTCACATGACACAAACTATTCACCAGACTCGAAACATTAAAACAAACACTCAATTACGTAACATGACGTCACTGTTCTGTATTCTGTTTTCAAAAATCATAACCGTTAATAGAAACGTCAATCCGTCGGTATCGCGGCTTCACAGTCCAAGTGGGACTAGTCGTTTTATCGCGTTGTGACCAGGCGATGGGCCGATTGTCCCCAGTCTGAATCAACAGGGTTAACTCAAAAGCTTTGTATTACGTAATACGATCTTTAGGCACGCTTATCTGTTGGGAGTTAAGTTGAATGTATTTTGTCTTTTAGTTTTAGGTTTGGGATTGTTGTTTTTGGCGGTTTGCTTTAGCAGTTTTATTGTGATGGGATTCTAAGGCTAATAATGATATGGTATATTTGGTTTCATTTAAGCTCTATTACTTATTACAATTTATGTGTCTTTATTTTTATTTTACAATGTGGCTTTATTAGACTTATTTTGATTCATAATTTTAGCCAATGAGATCTTGCAAGTGCTATCATCCGCTTGACCATTTTGGGACGTCACCCCACTCTTATCCACCCTTATCCTAATCCTAGACAAATGCCAAATGCCACGATGCGGTCGTCACTATAAACACTGTAAATATGTTTCACCCATACGACTGTTCCGAATAGTTGAAGGATTTACTCGAGCCATATTTTCATGTAAAATAGGGTTCCACGAATAATTCACGATGACAAACAATGTACGGACCTAGTGCCTGAGTTCTGTTCATAAACATAGATGTTATCTGTGGATATTTCATAAACGTGGCAGTCTGGTTAATGCCACAGCCCGATAAATATCAATACACATGTACCTCCTTATTGGGTCGTCGTTTATAAGGTCTAAATGGATTTCCTTTGCCTCCCTAATACTATTTGTTTGGAGTACCTACGTTTGTAATGTCAGTTGAACGAACTTATGTAAAGATGAGCGTGTAAAATGTTTAGTCTATTATTACTTATGAATGGGTCTACGTGTTTTCTTACTAATATGATGTTGAAATGGCATTTATTGTTTCATAGATAGTTTTATCGTACTTATTCTTCACGAAGTCTACGTCTTTGTACTGTTTATGCATTGTTATTGATGTCCATTAGTGTTGCAAAGTTACATAGTACATATATCGAGACGCTTGGTTGTTAAACCAAGCTTCACTTCACTATTATATGGAGCTTCACTTCTATTATTATCGTATCAACAACAAATACCCGAGCAAATAGACTCGATAGCTTCACAATTAACACAAGCAGTTCCTAGTACCCACCAAAATATGTCGTATTCTCTCCTCGAACATAGCCCGAATAATCAAGATACTTACGCAGCTACTTGAATAACGTCTGCCAATCGTAGAATGTTCCAGAATATTCTAGAAGCATCCAGAATTCGATAACCGTTAATTAAAAGCATTCCGAGTCAAATCCAGTTCGGTTCACTAACTAAGTAATCATAACCGCAGTGCAGTGCGGCTTGCAATTGTAGATATGCCAATTAATGTTCCAATAATTGGAATCAAATGTTTGTTTATTGGAAGCTGGGTGTATCTTTTTATGATTCGTGTTCAATCATTTTGTAAATACCTTCTTTATTATTAAATAAATACGACTACTAAAAATATTTTCGAGTTTATACTTG